GTCGCTCCCTGGCACACGTCGTCCGCCGCCTCCAGCATCACGACAGAGGCCGTCGTCTTGGAGAGCTCGCGCGCCACGGCGGCGCCGATGCACCCGGATCCGATAATGGCAACATCGTAGCTGCCGTCCGGCTTGGCTGACGAGTGGCGCGTGATAGACCGGGGGCACGGGCCCGCCGGCGTCTTCTCGTTCGAGCCTCCCGCGATGTTGAACTTCTCCTTGCAAAGCTCGAGCGGCACCCAGTGGCCCGCAACGTAGGCGCCCCCCTCGCCATGCACCTCGCCCTGAGTGACGGCGGTGGGCGCACCGCAACGAGGGGTGGAGCGCGCGACGCGTGGCACGACGAGGCCGGACGCGGAGCTCACGATGAAAGACAGCATCGAGGTGCAGAGACAGCTGGAGGGCGAGGCCTCGACAGACGTTGAGGAGAGGTCCTCGCACCCAATCAGCAGAGGGTGATGAGCCGAGGCGTGTCGCCGAGCAGCGAATTGTGTTTCTTTTTCTCGACAAAGCCGGAGCGAGTCTCATCACTCAGTCTGTAAAGTACCACAACCCATGGCTCTGTGCCCCGCTCGTCCCACCGTGTCCACCACGGCGCACGGGGTGATATGGGCGGAGTCTGTTCCAAGCAAGCGCGTGTGCGCACACACACTCTCTCTCTCGCTCGCTCGCTCGCACGCGCGGCGTGCGCGAGCGGCCCTCCACGTGGGCGAGGCGGCGAGAATAGTCTCCTCTCCAGCGCTTGCCCTGCAACCGGCCGCGCGTGGTGCTCCATCCTTCATGCCTTCGCCTTGCCCTTGCCGCAAGGCCCTTGGCCTCCTTCTTCTTCTCAAGGTCGAGGAGGATGCCGACGACTCTCTGCACAAGGCCCAACTCCTGGGCACGGGCGCAGTGGTTGTCAGTGCACTAAGGGTAGAACACCAGGCTAGGCGCGGCCTCGGACGGGCTCTGGTCGCGGGGAGCCCGCCGGGCCGGCTGAGTGATGGCCTAGGAGCCCTACACGGACGGTGTTTATGCTATATAACACCTAGGGACCGCGTGGGGTGGGCGGCGAGCTGCGCATCGGCCGACAATGTGCCGGTGTACGCGTTTCGGTCACACTCAGGGCCCGTTTTGCATGTGACCTGGCGGTGTGTCCTAACACTCCTTATAGCGTACCTTAAGGTGTATAGGCGCTATAGGGGGTGTCGTGTCACTCTAGACACTTGAAGACTCGTAGACCCCTTCAGGCCGACGGCGACGCCCGCGGCCTCGGTGAGCGTCATGCACAAACACAAACAGCACAGTGCGTGTTTACTTCAGAGCACCACGTCGCTCTCTCTCTCTCCGCTCTCCTCCCTCTGCCACGCGCTCCCCGGTTCTCTCTCTATACCGTAATTGACCTACTCATGACTCCTGCCTCTTGGGCTCTCGGGTACGGTATCCAGCGCGGCGAGGTCCAACTCCGCCGGCGGGTCCCACTGCACGCGCCCAGACTTCGTATGCGAGAAGAAGACACGGCCGTCCGAGGTGGCGTGCTGTCGCCAGCCGTACTTGAGCCGGCGTGTCGCCCCCTCGACGGCGTGCACGACAATCTCGGAATCGG